TTAATTAAAATGGATGAGATATCCGTAAATATTCGAAAATATCCGCAAATATCTATTTATTTTCCGGATATCCGTTTTTCCGGATATCCGTATTTTTTCGAAGCAAAGCAAATACCAAAATTAGATATCCGTAAAATTCGAAGCAAATCACAAATACCTTTAAAAACCCGGATATCCGATCCGTGCCCACCCCTAATGATACTAGATATATACTATACTCGTACTATACATATATATATGTATATGATGGTTTATAATTACGTTGATTCGATTTGATTCAAGCATGCATTTCTAAACTTTAATATGTATCACAAGTTGACCATACACTTGTGAGCAAGCTATATCTATGTCAAGATTGATAATTGGTGATACACCGATAAATATATCATTTTCTATAAGAATAAATCATTTATCTTTCATACAGAACGCAATGTTATACGTGCTTGTGGATATTGGTTAAGTCAAGTCCAGAGCCGGTCATGTGCCAAATCTATTGACACATTTGTTTTATCTCCGAAAATTTTGAAAAAAAATATATAAATATAAGTTTCCAATTTGTTTTTAGATTTCCAAATTAGTTAGAAATTTTATTTTTGCTTGAAATCTTTTTAAAATCGTATATGGCCTCTTAAATCTCGGTCCTAATCAAGTCATATAGGTAAGTATTAAAATTCACTGGTGTTTGTGGATATGTTGGGTTTGTAGCTAAAACGATATCCCTAACGTGAAAAAAGAAACGAAATCCTTATCTATATAGTTGTCCTGCGTAATCTATCCTTGGATATGGTTTATGGATACGATGGTTTAGTTTTGAGGTTATTTTGTTTATGTTGTGTGCTTAGATCATAATTAGGCGAATTTATATACTGTAATATACATCTACAAATTTTAATATCTTATTTTGTTAGGTTATGTATATGTGCGTAGATATGTGTGTTAATGCATACACATATATTCATCATATATAGGTCGATATGGTTGATTGATTCAAATAAAATGAACATTTGACTCTACATCGTCCATCCAACAGTTATATTGTTCGTCTCACGTGGGAGAAGATATAATTAAATCATGAAAATCGTTGAGGTCTGAATCTTTATTAGCTCTAAGCAAATAAATTAAGGAGTGTATCATATCTGTTCTATGAAGCTTCCTCGACCATTATATTAACCGTACAAATATTATTAACTAATCACGAATTAACTAATAGTCTAATACCTTCCAGCTTTTTATTCTCCCCTTTCTGAATGATTGTTTTTAAATATGTTAGTACAGATTTGATTCATTGGTTGATTATGTATTAAATAATTAAGTTGCGTTCATGCTAGCTATTCCTTCCATTAAATCAAATATCTTACTAGTTATTTTGTTTTAAAATTAACTAAGATATCTACTAGATAATAGCACAAGGTTTAGGAATATAGTTTTCATTTTTCTGACTTTTTGCAATATGCTGTATAATAGGGATATTTGGGTTTTTAATTTAGTTTGAGTTACTCCATATTTGGTAGGTTGTTCAAAATCGAGAAGACTGTTACTCATTTTTTAAAAAAAATTGGATAGAAAGTTATATACATTGAAGCTCCTGCAAGTCTTTGGAACAATATGTAAACCATGTAATATCTAACTTTCATTTTGAGATTATAGGTCCAAGAACATGTCACCCTACTAAAAACTACGTGTTTTAATCAAAAGTTTATTTAATCTTTCGGCTATGAAATTTATTTAAAATGCAGTTTGACTTTGACATCAAATGCGGACTTTATGATAATATTCAGTCCATGTTTATCTTGATTGTATAAGCTTTATCTGATGGTCTCCCTCATGACATTGGTGTTGACACCAACATGGTTGGATCATTTTGGATTACTATGCCTTTGAGAAATCTCCCAACAAGCTTTTCTAATTGCTTCAGATTCATCTTCTTATCATCAAACGAGTATGTCAACAAACATTTATTAAAACTTGAGTTCATAACATAAATCCTTCAGCATAAAACAAATCTTAACTCAAAGCTAAACATTGCATGATCGTGGCGGTCTAGTTCTGTCTAGGCTCAAATCGCCAGAGATCAACCGCAATATCAACTTCTTTGCGTTTGTGGAACTTGTAGAGTTTCGGCAAGTCATACCGGAGCTGCAAGGGGGAAGAAACATGAATAAGTTAAGAATGTTCATCATAGTTTCAAATGATGTTTTTAAAATCTTTTATAGCCACCAACCTCACATATAACTTCAGCACTTTTCGCATTAAAATCACGCAACGCTGCTCTTTTAATGTGCTGCAATAATCAAAAAGGTTGTCAAGAACACAAAAAACATATACTCAAGTGTAAAGAGTTAAAGAAGAAAGGCTCCATCGTGCTTACTTCTCTGGTGGATGTCTTATGCAAGGAGTAAACAGCTTGAGAGGCGACCTTCATAGCCGCGGAGAGAAACTCCATGTCAGCTCCTTTCTTTCGTGTACCAAAGGGAGGATTCATTACAACAGTATCCACAATCTGGCCTATCAATAAACAAAGATGGATTCATTTCACACCAGATATTTTTCTTTTATTTGTCTAAAGAAACCAAAATGAAAGGAGAGTTCACCTTTTAACTCTAACTTTGTAACGTCACACTGAACGAAATCTATCTCCACCTGAGAAACTAACCAGTTACAGAAAACAGTATTGCTATAACCAAAAAAAAAAGAAGACTCATCATTTACCTCAAGCTCCTCTGCGTTTAGTGTTGCTGTTTCAAGAGATTGAGGGTCGATATCAAATCCAATCACAGAGCTGTTTGAAGCAATAAAAGAGAATTAATATAACTTGAAGTAATGATGAAATAATGATGGAGGAAGATTTTTTAAAACTCACGCAGCATCTAGAAGAGAAGCAGCAGCACTTAGTGTACCACAGCCACAACCAAAATCCGCAACAACTTTATCAGTTATGTCTCCATATGAGTTCTCTGCCTAAACACATTGATTCAACCAACACACACTTCACTCTTCCGACAAAACAGCAACGAAGCCTAACTAAACAACAACTTTAAGACTACAAATAAATTAAAACATCCATATATTAAATTCATTACTAGCCAATTAACAGAAAGCTAAGAGCAAAAGAAATAAACTTTTGAGCAAAGAGAGAGACTTTACAGTGAAAAGCATGCGAGAAGCAATGTGAGGACCAGTTGGGTACTGCTCCAATTCAACCTTGCGACACAAAAACCAAAAAATAAAAACTCAACTTTGAATCAAAAAGGAGATAAAAGAGTTAGACTTTTACGCATACTTTAGGATGAGAGAATTGTTGAAGATCACCCAACAAGCCTTCTAATTGCTTCAGCTTCATCTTCTCCTCCGGCGCTTCTCAACTACGACCGAGTTCACACAATGCCTCTAAAAGAGTCTTAGAGAAGAATAAAAATTAAGAAACAATATGGGCCGAGAATCGAACTTTAAGGCCCATTGGGCTTTTTTTTTCTCTCACTTTCTCTGTGTCTCTTTCAAGACATTACCCTCTCGAGAGGGTTTCTCTACACTCTGAATCGCGTCGCTTGCTGACATAGCAGAGAGAGAGAGAGAGAGAGAGATGTGTCCTAGAGCAACTTCGACATGCGAAATCTGCGAGAAAGTTGTATCCAAATACAAGTGTCCTTCCTGCCTTGTTCCTTAGTATGTACACTTCTTATTATTATTCTCTTTCATCTATATCTACACTATAAGTCATTGTTCTTACTACTTCGTGCTGTGTCCTGCAGCTGCTCCTTGGGTTGTTTCAAGAAGCACAAAGGCAATTTATTTCTTAACTCTAGACCTAAAACTATTTCACTTTTTTTTTTTTTAAATTGTGAATTGGATTAATGTCTCTTTAGCTTGTTAATTGTACCCCCCAAGACAAGGGTTATAGCTTGAGGTTTAAGTTGACGTGGGTTACTAAACTATGTAATAATGTCCAATGATGCAGAGACTCCATGTGCTAAACCTTCTTCAGCCGAGGAGAAGCCAGGTTAGTGCATTAGTAGTCTCCCTTGGTTTGTTTGATTTTGCTTTTATTTGATGGCTTTATTCGATTAGTAGCATTAGTACACGGGATCGATTTCTTTCTGCTTTTATCGCTTTGTTTCATGATCTGGTTTTGTGGCAGTTTCTCCAGCAAAGGAAGTCTCAAAAGATGTGGTTGTAAACACAGAGCACAAGGCTAGTGGTATGTTTCTTCTAACTTTTAGATATATGGGCTGCGTTTTGTAACCTCTGAAGTAGCCAGCCAGAGATGCTAGCTAGCATCACACAACGAACCTTTTAGACTTTGGTTTTTAGTCAACATTACCTGTGTGTTTTGTAGCTTCATCTATAGCAAAGGAAGTTCCAGTGGCAAGACCGATTACTGTGGAGGAAGAAAAGTATGTTGTTGAGAAGACACAGCTCGAGGCTATCGGTAATGTTTTGAATGAATGAATGAATCTGTTGCTTCATTGGCCATTTTTAAATTTGGAAACTTTTTGCAGCTTCTTCTAGTGAAATCAGAGAAGCTCTAAAGGATGAAGCCCTTCAGAAACTCATCTTTAATATTGATAATTCTTCCAACCCTCTACAGGTAAGCTCATCTACATCGTCATGTATTCCTAAAAGATACAAATATTTTTTCTCTATTATTGATAACTGTTTGTGGATGTGTCAGGAACTTGATGAAGCCATGGGAGTAGAAGCTTTCCGCGTACTCACAGAAAAGGTACAACATTCTTTAAAGTCTCTATCCTTTTTTTACAAAACTTGCAGAGAGCAAATGACAAGCAAAAGAGCCTCTGCTAAGTTTCTCACATTGTGCATTTTCAGATTCTGTCAAACATTTCCAAGAGTAATGACGACAAGCAATGATCGTTTTCGCAGCGTCCAAACAGAAGTTTCTAGTACTACACTCTTGATTATTGTTTTCGTTACGAAGTGTTATTAGCTTGCAGGAGAGATTTTCATTGTCTTATAGAAAATCAAGACCGTTTTGGTTTAACCCATACATCTCTTCTCTTACTCACCTTACCTATCTATACTTACCCTCAAGATTCCAGGTTCTGAAAATTTACAGAAACAACGAAAAAAGGGGACCCTACATTAACCTTAAACTGACTAGATTATACACGTTATCTCTTCTTATTACATCTTCAGCTTTGTGAATTTGCCAGGAGAACTGATCCTTTCTTAACCTGCAAAACAACATGATGGAGGTGTATCTGTCAAATCGTGAACGTTAACTCGCAAGAAACGCTTCTGGCCAGCCCCTACTAACCTGTTGGTTTGGGCTCCTGCTGATCTTCAGGTTCCTTACTACTACTTGCCTGGCTGAAACTCAGCTGTGATGTTGTTTGATTCTATGTAAAACACGATCTTGTGAGCATTACCATCTGTAGAAAAAGAGGAATGTAAGCACGATGGATACTTCAGGAAGAATTACCTGCAATGTAGGAGGAGGAGGAGGAGGAGGAGGTTGTTGCATTTGTTGGAGACCAACAAACTGGCTATAAGGATTCATGTAACCTGGAAATTGAGGCTGGTTCGACACGGGATCAGGTTGCTGGCTTGGTAAATGGACTCTGGACGGGTCAAAGCCTTGAAGGTTTGGAAAAGGATATCTTGGTGCTGGAAACGGTGAACCTAGACCTGCCATATGAGCTTGCCTAGGAAAAGTTGCGCCGGGGAAAGGTATAAATGGAGGCCTGTTAATGCCCATCATTCCCATTGCTGAGGGGGGCATGAAACGTTGCATATTTGGTGCAAACATCATCGGCATCATACCGCCGCCTCCTGCAGACATCATCTGCAATTTCATTTTCAGGGGATTAATTTTCATGAATCCTTGTTCAAAAGACTGAGCAAATTCATGACATGCAAGAAGCCATCAGCTTATCAAGTACATCCATCTAGACAACGAAGTACCATTGTTTCCAAGTAGAGACTTACTAGATATTTGCGTATCTCTTCCATGAAACTTTTTTTTATAACCCTTCCACGAAGATGAATCTTCTGCATACATAGGAACCAAAATCCAAGGTGGCAGCACGAAACGAAACGCTGGTTGATTAACAAAAAAAAAAGGACTCTAAAACCCTAAACTCTTTATTGTTATGCATGAGCAATGAAGAGAAGGAGAATGTTCTTTGCTTTAACACACAAGTCTGCTTGAGGACATACCTGTATTTGCATCTGTAGGGACTTCACATACTCGATAGCATCTTCCAGCATTGAAGCTTTATCGGTCTGTTCAAAGAACAGAAACTCTTATCGGAATCATCAACTTCACCTTGAGTAGAAAATACAAAAAAAAGATAAAGACATACCTTGTTGCAGCGAGGAATGAGTTCTTGGAGAGCCTTCATCTTCTCGTTGATCTTTTCTCTCCTTCTCTGTTGTTACAAAAATAAAAAGAAAGAGGTTACTATATGAAAGAGGAGAGAGCTCTTACATTGTTGGTTAGTAAACTCAAGAAATGAGAAGTTTGAAGAACCCTCTCGGAGATGTTATGCATTTCTGAAGCTCGTGACCTCTTCCTAGATGTTGAACCACGAGCTTCTTCACCAGTTTCCTGCACCCCACACAAAACCATAAAAACAGTTGAGTGTACTAAACTCCACGCGTCCAAGTGGTGACTAACATGCGCGCCTTGTACTTTACCTCGGTTTCATCAGCAGCAAGTTCTTCCCTCTCTTTTCTCTTCCTCTCATCAGCAGCTTCCGTCTCCGACACTGGTTCAATCTGAAGCAGCTCTGTTTCGGTCTTTGAGACACCAGAAGAAGATGGTCCGGCGCAAACCGTCTCAATCGCTCTTGGAACCGCAAAAGTCTGCAAGACTCCGCTAGTGACAGTCGCTGGTGTAAGACATGACTCAGGTGCTGAAGAAGTCGGAGTCGCGCTTGATCCCACCTGCGTGGAGTCTTTAACCACCGGAACCAGCCAAGGTGCAGCTGGTCCTGCAGCTTCGACTCTACCTCCGGTAAATATGTTTCCTCTTAGCCTCGAGAAGTTTGTGAAGTTCTCTGCCCTTCTTGAACCGGAGATGACCTGACTCACCGGTCTCTCAGGAGTGTACATAACACTAGCTGGTTGTGGTTGTGGTGGAGGAGGTATAAGAGAGACGGAGCCTCCCTGAGGCTGAGTAGATGGGAGTGAGTAGAAAAGATGGGAGCCAAACTCATCCACTTCCCCGAGAGGAGGAGGAGGATGGTGAAGCCAAGAAGCCATTTCGTCTTCTCTGATGAAAAGATTCTGATCAGATGGTGGCTGGTGAGTGTGGAGAGGAGGAGGAGGATGCGGAAGAGGAGCATTTTCTTCTCCACCGCCGCCACTTCCGCTGCCTCTGAGAATGGGAGGAGGAACAGGAGGTGTTTGGCTGCTTCGAACAAGATGGCCGCTCTTCCATAAGAGCTCCACGATATCATCTTCACCCCTGACCAAACACAACCAAAACCAAACCCTTTTGCATTAAAAAAGGCAAAAAAAGAACAAAGATATAATAACAATAGGAAGTGCATAGTTACATGATGGATTGTTTCTTGGGAGAGAGATTGAGGAGATTCAAGGAGGAGGAAGAAGAAGTAAAAGTAGAAGAAGGTAAAGAAGAATCATCGTCGGCTCCGAAGTTGGGAACAGAGTTGATTCATATCTTTAGTCATAAAGACAACAAAAACCTCTGAGAGTAGCCCAGAAACTCTTATTGGAAACTTGTGAAACTATATATGTGAAAACAATAGACATTTTTTTTATTAATATATTTTGTTTAAAAAGTAAGTAAAATGATTTTGACATTAAGAAACGTTTTTATGTTGTCGCGGTTTCATTTCTGGTTTTAGCCAGCTATAAAACTCCAAAAATCCACCCAGAGAACACAAGAAAAAAGAAAAAACCTGAGATATTTTTTTAAAGTGATATGTTTGGAAGATAGTGTGTTTGGGTCAGATCCTTTGAATTTAATTTTTCTTCTACTGATTTCTTTCTGTTTTTTTTGCTCTTTGCTTGTCTGAATGTTCACTTTGAATTTTGTGCTTGTTACACAAGTAGGATGCTGCTCTATATCTTCTCTGTCCCCGGAATTGAGTGTCTCTGTCCGTGCTATGACCTTTGCGACATTCACTATGACGTCGTCTCTCTCCACGTAAACCCTTTTACTCTCTCGTTTCTTTTTTTTTTTTTTGATGGGTCCACCGTGGACATAAATAATATTTACATATGAGAACAAACAAGCTAGTGGTATTGTTATAAAACCATTTGAGATACAAAAACATCCAAGAGAAGAATCTGGAGGACTCGATAGAGAATCTGGAGGAATCGATAGAGAATCTGGAGGGTTGATGGAGAATCTAGAAGATATATTTTCAAGACACTTGAGATTCTTGTATGAAATGAACCATAGTAAACATCTATTCTATTAAAACATAGTCATTCTTTTTATCTACTGATACAAGTTGTCATTTAAATTTGAACTCTTTCTAGAGTGTTACAAATAATACAAGTTATAATTGATTGAACCGCATTACTTAAATTAAACCGGCGGTTATTTATGGAATAGAGTTGTGGGCTTACTTTTGTTTTATAACATTTAATTGTTTGGTTTTTGGGCTTAGTATTAAAGAAAAACTCCAAAAAACATTAAATAAACTCCAAAAATCAATTACTATTTTCATGCCCAAAAATATGTAATATTTTCAACAAAACAAAATTATTTATTATTAATCACTTATTTAAATCATGTACTTTAAAACATGTTAATATTTTTAGCCCAAAAATATTTAATATTTTCAACAAAACAAAATTATCTATTATTAATCACTTATTTAAATCATGTACTTTAAAACATGTTAATATTTTTTATTTTAAATAACAATCACTCTATCTTGATAAATTTTAATGTTAACTTTTAAATAATTTATTATTTTATTTTTCTTAAATAATTTACAGATTTTAAAAAAATGAAGCAAAACCAAAAACCAAATCTAAAAACTAAAATCCAAAACCAAAATCTGAAAACGCAGATTATATTTTTTGCTTTTTTTATTACAAAAAAAACTATTTCAAAATTTTTAGAAAATTATTTTGTCATCTTTTCAGTTTTAAATTACATGTTTGATTAATTGAGATTTCTTTGTTGATAATATCAGTTCAAACTAACTTAGAAGGTCTAAAAATTAAAAACCCAAACCAAAAGCTGGAAATCAAAAATAGAAACTTAAAAACTAAAAACCAAAAACAAAAATTTAAAACTAAATCTAAAAATAAAAACAGGAACTAAAAATTAATGAAAAACAACTATCACCACAAATTTTGGTGAACTGATTTTATCCCAAAACATTCTTTAAATTAAGATAAAACCCAGTTACATAAATTTTTAATCATAAAAATTTTCTGCGCTTGAATTATATTTTTTGCTTTTTTATTAAAAAATAATCTATTTCAAAATTTTTAGAAAATTATTTTGTCATCTTTTGAGTTTTAAATTACATGTTCGATTAATTGAGATTTGTTTGTTGGTAATATCAGTTCAAACTAACTCAGCGGATCTAAAAATTAAAAACTCAAACCAAAAGCTGAAATCAAAAATAGAAACTTAAAAATTAAAACCCAAAAAATCTAAATCTAAAACAAAATCTAAAAATAAAAATTGAAACTAAAAACTAATGAAAAACAATCATCACCACAAATTTTGGTGAACTGATTTTATACCAAAACATTCTTTAAATTAAGACAAAACCCCAATTATATAAATTTTTAATCATAAAAAAATTGGGTAGTATCAGTTCAAACTAACTCAGCGAATCTAAAAATTAGAAAGTCAAACCAAAAGCTGAAATCAAAAATAGAAACTTAAAAATTAAAACCAAAAAAATCAAAATCTAAAAATAAAAATTGAAACTAAAAACTAATGAAAAACAATCATCACCACAAATTTTGGTGAACTGATTTTATACCAAAACATTCTTTAAATTAAGACAAAACCCCAATTATCTAAATTTCTAATCATAAAAAATTTCCGCGCTTTTAAGCGCGGGTCAAAATCTAGTTTATTTTTATACTATAGCTTCTGCCTCATCCCTTATTCGAGACTTTTTTTCTTTTATGACTTTTGTTTTCGTTTTGTTTCTCTACTATATGGCATAGATGTTGGTTCTGACTCCTTCGTTTGATCTTTCATTGTATGAAATTTTTTCCTTGTTTTACCTCCTATGGAATGTAAGCGTAGATTTTCATAAAGGTGGACACTTTGGTTATTTTATCGGTTTGAATTCGGGTTGGTTTAGTTAATTCAGTTCTAAAATTTGTCGAACCAAAGTTAACTATAACTAGTTTGGAACAATTTCAGTTTGGTTTGTATTCAGTTTGAAGTGTCTTTTGATTCGGTCTAATCAGATTCTCTTATTTAAGTTTTTTAAGATAAATTTACTTTATTAAAATAAAAGTACCCATAAAAGATACCTTTTTATTTTTTTAATTTATTTACAATGTTATGCCACTAAAATTATTAGTTAGCCTATCTTTTATGAGGTGTTCAAAAAAAAAAGCCTATCTTTTATGATTGTTTGTATTTTCATGTTTAATTAATTCATTTACAAAATCAAATTCTAACTAAAAGTTATAGAATCAACAATTAATAAACCTATATTTTAGTGTTCTTTATTTTTTTCTATTTTATCATATATATATATATATATATATATATTATATATATATATATATATATTATCACTTATACAAATAAATATTTATTATAAAAAATTAAAAACAAACACTAGTGCGGGTGTAATTTTTTGATGTTTATTTTGTTTATATGACATCAACTTGTTAACAGCCACTAACAAATATATTACTGTAATACGACTAACTTTGGCAAATGCATCATGAAAAACAAAACAAAAATTAAAAAGAAAAATAAAACCCGCATGGTAGTACAGATCAATATCTAGTCATGTTTTAAAACATAAAGGCACGATCATGAAATTATCATGCTAGTGATTATGAAAAAAATAAAATATGTAAACTAAATCAAATATAAAATTGAAATAAAAACTTAAAAACACACAAAAAATTATAAGAACATAATCAAATCAAAGTTAAGTAAAATAAATAAAAAATAAAAAATAAAAATAAATTATGTGAATTAAATCTAATATAAAACTGAAACAAAAATCTTTTAAAATCACAAAAAAATTATAAGAACGCAATCAAATCAAAGTAATTAAATTAAATAAAAAATTAAAAATCTAACATAAAGTTGATAGTAACTTTAGTGTTGGATTTTAATATATTATGCATTGCTAATATGTTTAATTTATATAATAGTGAAAACACATTGGTTTCTCGATTCGATTTAATTCGGTTTGGTTCGGATCGGTTTCGATTCGGTTGGTTCGGATTGGGAAAATCTTAAACCAAATTATTTGATAATAGACTTTGGTTGGTTTGGATCGGTTGGTTTGGCTGGACTCGGTTCGATTCGGTTTTTTTTCCCACCCCTATTTCTAACATGCACTTATAAGTTTCCAACTTATTTTTTTGCAAAAACAAGAAGAAAAAAGGGGAAAAGATAGAGGAGAAAATAACTAGTATTTTGTCAATCTTCCTTTTAAATATCCCACGGATGAATACTCGTCTGTTTAATATGAAAATCTTAAAAAAAAAAAAAAATTATATATGCAAATCTTTAGTTTGCGAGAAATCAGAATTTTACTAAGACATCAGTATTGGTAATTTTTTTAGTAGTTTCTCACAAATAAGATATTTAATATTTTAAAACACGTTTGTCATATGATTAAAATTTAATAATGGAAAAAAACCGTCAATCATTTGGAGTCTCTCACTTTCTAGAGAATTTTTCAAATGAGAGATTTTTTTTGTCAATGATTCATTAGAGCACAAAACGGACAAAGTAGGTACAAAGGAAAGTTCAATAACAGAAGTATTTCAAATGAGAGACTATTGTAAAAGTTTCTCAATTTTTTTTCTCAATTATTTTGAGTACTTCTATTATTTTTAAATATTTTCTTGAGAGACTACCAATGTGGATATTTTAAAATTTTATTTTATGGGGATACTTATTATATTCTTATTTAACAAAATGATAGAAAGTTCAGTTTCCGTTTAGCCCAAATGGAGAGTTTCAAGTTTACTCATTATAGCTTGTCAATATCCCCAATATTTTGCAAATTTTATTTTAAGCCATGCGTATTTAATTGTTGAAAGTTCATAACAAAAAAAAAAACAATGAATTTTCAAAAAAGAGCCCTTAAACAAATTTGGGAATTGAATGTAACTTTTTACCAGAAAATAGAGAATTGTTGATTGCTAAAAACTTCACAACAAAGGAAAAAGGGGGGGGGGGGGGGGGG